GAGCCAGACAGGCTGGGCATTTTCAACCTTTTTTTTTTTTTTAATTAAAAAAAGCAGGCAAGGATTTATTGAAAAACTGGCCAGGACGGCTGCGGGAGCACCACACGCAGGTGGGCCCCACATGACCGCACTGATTCAGGTGTAGGCAATCTTTTTTAAACCTTGAACCACTGGAATTTCCTTTTGTTCCAAATTCTAAAGGCTGGGAACATTGGAATGTGGCCCTATCTTGCCCATAATACAAAATCAGAACTCAGAGGTTAATCTCTAAAGGTTATCTATAGTTTCTACCCCTGAAGCTACTGAGTCAGTGGGAGTCAATCTCCTGTAACTACCCTATTGTTTAAGCAAGTAATCGAAGGTCGAAGTCAGATAGCAAGGTTAAATTCAAACAGCAGTTTTTACCCAAGTATGATTGCTACCATATTTCATTCCACACTGGTTTTTATGTGCATGAGTCAAATCATTGATGTTACACCCAGACTTCGTGATCCCCAAGGACCACCAGGGAGCCGAGTCCAATGCAATAAACAAAAGAGCCTTTTCCATGCTAGCATGGGCTCTGTCCCATTCACTCTGACAGCATGGTGGAAGAGAGAGCGAATTTCACCAAGCCCTAGGGTTTTACTCCGGTGATGATGTCACTGCTTTGGCTGACCCCGATTGGTTGGGTGAGGGCCAGGGTCCAGTTACAAAATGGAGGACAACTCCACCCAGCCCCACAGTGGAGTCAGGAGCCCATCCTCGCCCCACCCTGCCCTCTCAATTGACTCATCCTACTTCCTTGCTCTCCAGTCCCCTAGCACATTTAGCCTTACTTAGCCCCGGACTTTCTCACTGGTTAGCAAAAATGTTCTTACAATTACCAAGATCCCTAGTACCACAGTTCCCATCAGTACTGTCCTCTCTGAAGTACAGTTCCCCTTCTGCAGGCATCAAGTCTCCTCCTGGCCTGCATGGAGCCCAAGCTAAGGATCTCACGGGTGAGGCCACTGGTTGCCAGGTCTGGATGCCGTCTACTTCAACAGCCGTGGGCGTGCTCAGGAAATCAGTGTAGCGTCCCTTTCAGGTTGGGGTGAGTCCTTGGGCAGTGAACTTCTTTACCCACACAGAGTCTCTGGGCTGGAAGGGGTGTACAGAGTCTGGCATCAACCCTTTTTTTTTTTTTTTTTTAAATCTCATATCACACTTAAACTAATTATTAAAATTCTACAACACACCAAAAATATATTTTTTGCTGTCAAAAAAAGTAGGTATAGTTTTGATTTGACTCATTTACACCAGACTGCTGTTATTGTGTTGGCAGTTGGCAGTTTAAAAATTAGACAATCTAAGGGAAAAAAGAGGTCAGTGCCTCAAGTATTGTATGTTGAAAAATTTTTGGGGGACCTGTTGAAATCATTTGCCTGGGCTATCTTTACTAAATGCTACTCTTGCTAAATGTTAAAATGTTGCGCAATATTTTTCAGACCAACTACAACAGTATAAGCTTCACAGGAACCACTCTGATAAGTGTAGCCAATTGCAGGAATGAAATCAACATGTCATTGGCCAAATAGTGTATATAAGCAATGGCGAAGCCTCCCCTTTCCAGAGGCAGAGCTTTGGCTCTGCAGCCTGTCTTTTTTACTTGCTACAAGTAGTAAATAAGAACTACCTTGCAACAGCAGGTTCTTCTTTTTGAATAGAGCACTCCAAGCAGCAAACCTCTTGAGTTTGGTAACAAGTTTGGTAACTCAGATGGGACACATTTTTTTTTTCCTTCTTCTTTCATTTTGAGTGGCACTCTCTTAAAATAACTCCTTCTTGGCCTGATGGGGGATGCTTGCCAAGAAGTCTGCAGCGGCGAGTTGCCGGCCGGCGTCTAGGGGCGAAGCGTTTGTGGAGTCGAGGTCTGGGCACCGCAGACATGACGAAGGGACTTGTTTTAGGGATCTACAGCAGAGAAAAAGACAACGATGTGCTACCGTTTACAAGTGCAGGAGAGAATTTTGATAAACTGGTGTCTGGGAAGCTGAGAGAAATCCTGAACATATCGGGACCTCCACTGAAAACAGGCAAAACTCGAACCTTAAGTCTGCACGAGGACTTCTCCAGTGTGGCGGTGGTTGGCCTCGGCAGAAAGGGGGCTGGCGTAGATGACCAGGAAAACTGGCACGAAGGCAAAGAAAACATCAGAGTGGCTGTTGCAGCGGGCTGCAGGCAGTTCCAGGACCTGGAGATCTCCGTGGAGGTGGACCCCTGCGGCGATGCCCAGGCGGCCGCGGAGGGGGCAGTGCTCGGCCTCTACGAGTACGACAGCCTGAAGCAGAAGAAGAAGGCGGCCGTATCCGCGAAGCTGCACGGAAGCGGCGACCTGGAGGCCTGGCAGAAGGGGGTCCTCTTTGCCTCGGGGCAGAACCTGGCACGCCAGCTGATGGAGAGTCCTGCCAACGAGATGACGCCAACCAGATTTGCTGAAATCATCGAGAAGAATCTCAAAAGTGCTAGCAGTAAGACGGAAGTCCACATCAGACCCAAGTCCTGGATTGAGGAACAGGAAATGGGATCGTTCCTGAGTGTGGCCAACGGGCCCGATGAGCCTCCTGTCTTCCTGGAAATCCACTACAGAGGCAGCCCCAACGCAGGCGACGCGCCGCTGGTGTTTGTGGGGAAGGGGATTACCTTCGATAGTGGCGGCATCTCCATCAAGCCCTCCGCAAGCATCGACCTCATGAGGGCTGACATGGGAGGAGCCGCCACCATCTGCTCGGCCATCGTGTCCGCTGCCAAGCTCGGCCTGCCCGTTAACCTCATCGGTTTGGCTCCTCTTTGTGAAAACAGCCCAGTGGGAAGGCCAACAAGCCTGGAGATGTCGTTAAAGCCAAGAATGGAAAGACCATTCAGGTGGATAACACCGATGCTGAGGGGAGACTCATCCTGGCCCACGCGCTCTGTTACGCACATGCCTTTAACCCAGAGTTAATCATCAATGCCGCCACCCTCACAGGTGCCATGGACATCGCTTTGGGCTCCAGCGCCACTGGGGTCTTTACCAATTCATCCTGGCTGTGGAACAAACTATTTGAGGCCAGTGTTGAATCAGGGGACCGTGTCTGGAGGATGCCTCTCTACGAACATTATACAAGACAGATTGTAGACTGCCAGCTTGCTGATCTGAATAACATTGGAAAATACAGATCCGGAGGAGCATGCACAGCCGCAGCATTCCTGAAAGAATTTGTGACTCATTCGAAGTGGGCGCATCTAGACATCGCAGGTGTGATGACCAACAAAGATGAGATCTCGTATCTGCGGAAAGGCATGACCGGGAGGCCCACGAGGACCCTGATAGAGTTCCTGGTTCGGTTCTGTCAAGACAGTGCTTAGTGCAGACACTGCGAAACTCCCTCATTCCGTCCTGAATGGGCAGTTGAGCTTCAAAATATTCTGCAATGGATGAAATCCATTAAAAAGAAAAAAAGGATGATGTTTAAAAATGTAGGACAAAGTGAAATTTGTATGCCTTGATTTTTCTCATTTTTATGCAGAGATTTAAAACTGTAAAGCTAGTGTCTTGCTTGGAAAACATTTTTAAGATGTCCTATATATGATGACTGAATTTTTTAAAAAGTACCTAATCACTTTTCAGAGTATATGTTTTTAATTGAAGAGCAAAATTGTATTTCAGATTTGTGATGCCAGGAACCTGAGTTACCGTGAGGCTGGCGGAAACAATAAATGCAGCTTTTTGTGCTCAAAAAAAAAAAAAAAGAAGAAGAAGAAGAAGTCTGCAGCATAACTGAGACCGATTCGGTTCAGTGGATAGAGCATCAGTCTGTGCGGACTGAAAGGTCCCAGGTTCAATTCTAGTCAAGGGCATGCACATTGGTTGCGGTCATATCCCCAGTAGGGGGTGTGCAGGAGGCAGATGGTCATGTTTCTCTCTCATCAATGTTTCTGGCTCTCTAGCCCTCTTTCTTCCTCTCTGTAAAAAATCAATATATATATATATATATATATATATATATATATATATATATATATATATATATATTTTTTTTTTTTTTTTTTTAAGAAGACGACTCTGGGGAGGGAGGATATGTATGGGAGGGGGGCAATGGTAAGATATGCACACAGATAATAATCTAATAAGAAATAAAATAAAATAAAATTTAAAAATAAAAATAAAAAAAAGAAGAAGCCTGCAGCAGCACTTCTCACCTGTGTCTCCACTGGACCACGGGTCTGTCCTATGGGAGATTCCCGCTGTCTGGCCTGTCTCCGCAGACAAGTGGACCTGTTTCACTCAACACTTTGGAAGAGAGAAGGTAGGTCAGGCCCCTGAATGAGTGTTCCTATTCCCATTTGGGGTGTAGGGTTGTTGGAAAGAGAGCTTCAGTTCTGGTGTGTGTTTGGTTTCTGGTTGGTTGGGCAGGATTCAGGGCCTGCATCAGGTCTAACTCTGGAGGGTTGAGAAACGCCTGTGGGGCAATCCAAGACATCCTTGTGTAACAATCTCTGGAATGGTTGTCTGTTTGTCCTGCAGGAGTTGGATTTTGTTCTTTGTACTGACCTTTGTGTTTGCCTTATTTGCCTGTTATGTAAATGTGTTGGCTGTGGGAAACTCAAACTTGATCCCTGAATGGAGCCCGTTGGAGGTACATTCTTCAGAACTGGATAAAAAGAACCCTGTTTATTTGACTTAAAGAAATTAAAGTGCTTATATAAATTAAGAAATATAGTGCTCGACTGGTGTGGCTCAGCAATTGAGCATCAACCTATGAACCAGGAGATCACAGTTTGATTCCTGGTCGGGGCACATGCCTGGGTTTCGGGCACGATCCCTAGTAGGGGGCGTGCAGGAAACAGCCGATCCATGATTCTCTCGAAGCGTGAGTGTAAGGCTGAGATGGAGAGCAATATGAAGGACCTGAAGAGAAACTTTCTGACAGAGAAGGACATTTTGAAGGTTTTGTTGGCTGAAAAGGGTTCTCTGGAATCCCCCTCCAACGGGTCTGTGGAATTCCCCTCAGATCTTTCTTGAAGATTCCAAGAGAATTAAATTAGAGCCATGGGGACACGGAAGGTTACTGTACCTCTGATCTTTGCCATCACCGTTGCTACAATAGGCTCTTTCCAATTTGGCTACAACACCGGAGTCATCAATGCCCCGGAGATGATCATAAGGGACTTTATCAATTACACTTTGGAAGAGCAGTTAGAAAACCTTCCCAGTGAAGTGTTGCTGACATCCCTCTGGTCCTTGTCTGTGGCTATCTTCTCCGTCGGTGGTATGATTGGATCCTTTTCCGTTGGACTCTTTGTCAACCGCTTTGGCAGGCGCAATTCAATGCTTATTGTCAATCTATTGGCTATCACTGGTGGCTGCCTTATGGGATTCTGCAAAATAGCGGAGTCAGTTGCAATGCTGATTCTGGGCCGGTTGATAATTGGCCTCTTCTGCGGACTCTGCACAGGTTTTGTGCCCATGTACATTGGAGAGATATCTCCTACTGCCCTGCGGGGAGCCTTTGGCACTCTGAACCAGCTGGGCATCGTTATCGGGATTCTGGTAGCCCAGCTCTTTGGTCTGAAAATCATCTTGGGAACTGAAGATCTTTGGCCAGTGCTGTTGGGCTTCACCATCCTTCCATCTTTCCTACAAATCATAGCCCTTCCATTTTGCCCAGAAAGTCCTAGATTCTTGCTGATTAACAGAAAGGAAGAAGACAGTGCTAGAAAGATCCTCCAGCGGCTGTGGGGCACCCAAGACGTGACTCAGGACATCCAGGAGATGAAAGATGAGAGTGTTAGGATGTCACAAGAAAAGCAAGCCACTGTGCTGGAGCTCTTCAGATCACCGAGCTACCAATGGCCCATCATGATTTCCATCATGCTCCAGCTCTCTCAGCAACTTTCTGGAATCAATGCTGTGTTCTATTACTCAACAGGAATCTTCAAAGATGCTGGTGTTCAGGAGCCGATCTATGCCACCATTGGTGCCGGTGTGGTTAATACCATCTTCACTGTAGTGTCTCTGATTCTGGTGGAAAGGGCAGGAAGGAGGACTCTACATATGATTGGCCTTGGAGGAATGGCTTGTTGTTCTGTCCTTATGACTATTTCCATGTTATTAAAGGATTCGTCTAGCTGGATGAGCTTTGTGTGCATTGGGGCTATCTTGGTGTTCGTGGCCTTCTTTGAGATTGGCCCAGGCTCCATTCCCTGGTTTATTGTGGCCGAGCTCTTCAGCCAGGGACCCCGCCCGTCTGCAATGGCGGTGGCTGGCTGTTCCAACTGGACCTCCAACTTTTTGGTCGGACTGCTCTTCCCTTCAGCTGCATTCTATTTAGGACCCTACGTATTTATTATCTTCACCGGATTCCTCGTGATCTTCTTGGTCTTCACCTTCTTTAAAGTCCCTGAGACCCGCGGCAGAACTTTTGAGGACATTACACAAAGCTTTGAAGGGCAGGTGCACATGGCAGGCAGAGCTGAGGAAGCCTTCGTTGAGATGAACAGCATGCAGCCTGACCAGGACACCACCAACGTCTAAGCCGTGCCTCCTTCCCACCTCTCTCCCAACATGAAAGTAACCTCTCCCTGAACGGGGAGAGACCTCATTAGGTTGTAACCTGGGACTGTTTCTGAATGCTGCTACTTGAATCTTTTCTCATCCCCACACTCCATGAGCACTCAGAGGACCCCAGTGCTGAGGTTAGTTGTATCTTCAGTGGCTTTTTAAACATTTCATTTCTTGGGCATTCTCTTCTGTTTGGAAGAGACCAAGTGAACCTACCTTCATTTCAGGAGGGATTGGCTGCTTGGCATTTGACAACTTTGCCAGTTCTCCGTCCTTTAAGTTCTAATATTGCTCCACGAGGGCATGTAGGGAAGAAAGCATTCCCCAACCTCAGACTCACCAGGAAACAGATAGACATGAGAGTGTGGAGGCAGAGAGGAATTACAAGAGCACCTTCCTCACTTCCATACAGCTCTGCTGAGCAAATTAATTTGAGTTTTATTTATTTTACCTTCTGGTTTTATTGCCTAAATATTTGAAAACATAAGAAAATTGAGGTTAGAGGGGAGGTACTTAAAGAGTTTATAGCATGGAAGATTTGATACTGAAGAAGTTTATAATTTAATAAGGGAAGATTTACACAGAAATGTAATGCGTTGTTGGAAGGTCTATGATGAGGTGTGTGAGGTTTGCAGATTGCCTCTTAACAATTTCTGCCCTTCAGATGAAAATTCTCAAGTTCAGTTTCTCAGAAAAGTCATGTGCCTGTGTAAAGAAGCTACTGGTTTCCTTTGGAACTTTTTTCTTTGTTTAAGATTATATGTAGTATTACTTGAAATCTAGGATTATTACTAAGGTGGGCATTGTAGTTAATGGTGGTTGATGGGTTCTGATTTTGGATGGAGTCCAGAGAAGGGAAGGCTGTTTGTAGAAATCAATCGTCTTCCTCTCATAGTGGACTCGCCTTTTTTTTTTTTAAGTGCTCCTACCATTTATCTGGTGGGAGAGCAACCCAGAAATGGGTTCTTGGTAAAGGTTTGGTTTTTCTGTATTTTGTTCTTTAGGAATTTTTAGATGTTTAGGTTTTTTATTATTATTATTATTTTGTTTTAAGCCATAGCTTTAAAAGAATTCAGAGGAGCCGAGACCCATTTGGCTCAATGGATAGAGCGTCGGCTTGGGGACTGAAGGGTCCCGGGTTCGATTCCGGTCAAGGGCATGTACCTTGGTTGCGGGCATATCCCTAGTGGGGGGTGTGCAAGAGGCAACTGATCGATGACTCTCTCTCATCGATGTTTCTGGCGCTCTATCCCTCTCTCTTCCTCTCTGTACAAAATCAATAAAATATATATATATATTTTTAAAAAAGAATTCAGAGGAGAGTGTTCATAGCTAACTTGGAATTGGTAACCTCTGCATTGGGAGAGGATTTTTCCTGAATGACTGTTACCTAGTTGAAATACGTTACTGCGTTAGGGTCAGCCCATGCCTGTTTTTGTCTGTTTCCATGTCAAGTTGCTCTTGTTATCATGTTGCCATAGTATTATCGATATGTCAGGTGCCCTAAGGGCACTTGAGTCTTTCCCGTAGACCACGTTTGAGATGGTATGAGTAAAGGTGCAGTGTTGCCACACTTGAGAGAGTATGAATGTATGTGCGCTGCCACTTTGCTCTGGGTGGAAGCTGTTTATTGGTAACTTGTTTCCTCTGTGTTTCTCCAGCCCCCTTTTGGATGGAATGTGTTCAAGTTTTTCCCTGGGTACATAAGTAGCACTGGCTCTGCTGGGTGGGATTCGCATCTGTGGCTTTCTTCCTAACGCAGAGAACTCCGCCTCACTGTAGACTCGGACGTTGGGAGCAGGAGAGTGTGAATGAGGGCATGTGGCCTCCTAAGGGAGCTAGAAGGAAGTCATGGTGGGAGGAGGCATTCTTTTCAAGGGGATGAGATATACACTAAGACTTGTAAATCTGGAAAGTTTCAAAGAGTTAGATGAGATGAAGGTATTTACACTTGCCATAGGTCACAGACACCTCCACTACCTAGTTCCCTGTATTTTTATAAATGGTGACACCCACCCTCTATTCCCTTTTCCGTATGTTGCTTGACCTCCTGACCTCCCACCCCCTCCGTGGTGCTTATACGTTTGAGGCCCGTTAGCCAAACTCTTGCCTATGACAATAGTTAGTTCTCGGTTCTTACCATTCCCTCTGGTCCGTGAGCCTTCGGGTAAAAACCCAGAGCTGTGGCGGGGGCTTTCCTCCAACTGCACCTCCACTTGTGGCTCCTCAAAACCATGGGGGGCAGAACAGGTTTCCCATTTCTCACTGACCAGACTGCGAATATTTCCAAATAGGTTTTATATTATTAATGTTACTGTGGTTCTTCGTTTTGAAATAAAAATTCTGAATGTAAAAAAAAAAATGATTCTCTCTCATCACTGATGTGTTCTTGTTATTTTTTTTTTCTCTCTCCCTCTCCCTTCCTCTCTGAAATCAATTTTTAAAAAGATATGACTGCTGCCGAAACCGGTCTGGCTCAGTGGATAGAGCATCGGTCTGCGGACTGAAAGGTCCCGGGTTCAATTCCGGTCAAGGGCATGTACATTGGTTGAGAGCACATCCCCGGTAGGGGGTGTGCAGGAGGCAGCTGGTCGATGTTTCTCTCTCATCGACGTTTCTAGCTCTCTATCTCTCTCCCTTCCTCTCTGTAAAAAATCAATAAAATATATATTTTTAAAAAGATATGACTCATTTGTTATTTCTAAAGAAGTAATTTACTGGTACCCTGTCCATTAATAAAGAGTATATATCTGCAAGGATGGTTTTGAGCTCACTGGCTCTGTGTAGGTGCAGTCATGCATTTTCTTGTGTCAGAGCCCAAGCAAGTAGCTCAACTTCTGAGCAGCAGCTCATTAGCTTCCCCCCTCTCCTCTGGGAGTGGGGCAGGTCAAAGTGAGAAAGATTAAAAAAAAAAAAAAAGTGAGGAAGATTTCTCTCTTTATCCATAGGTAAAGATGAGGCGCTTCCTCTTTGGGGAGTGGCCCCCGCTCCGCTGGGCACAGGCCCTATGGTTGTGGGGAGTCTTCTGACTGGCAGTGGAATGGCCTGACCTGGGTGGAAGCAGCAGGGTGGAGCAGCCCAGCACTCTGCCATTGACATTTAGGAACAGAATGCTGTACTGCTAAGGTGTGAGCTGGAAGGGAGACAGGTGCAGGGAGGCCACACCACCAGAACCTTCCTTTTAGCAGGCTGGGTCTGAATTGTGGCATGTGAGTCAAGCCGTTAAACCAGGCATGCTGGGCCTGTCCTTTGCCTCTCACAGTCCCTCCTGCGTGAGATACAGGGGAGGCCTTCTCAGCCCATCTTCCCTAGGAAAGTCCCGGAGAGCCGGAAGCCAGAGGGCTGGGAGGAGCCAGGATGTGTAAGTGCAGTAGGAAGTGCCACTGCTCGGCGTGGGTGACTGCGGCCCAAGAGAAGAGGCGAGACAAAGCGGTGCCTTTGATAAGCAGCCCCTGTGGCTTTGCTGACCCTGACTTCGACCTCCTGTTTCATTCTGATTTGAATAACGGAAGCCTACAGCTGTTACAGTCTTCACTTTCAGTCTTTAAAAAAATTTTTAATATATTTTATTGATTTTTCACAGAGAGGAAGGGAGAGGGATAGAGAGCTAGAAACATCGACGAGAGAGAAACATCTACCAGCTGCCTCCTGCACACCCCCTCCCGGGGATGTGCCCGCAACCAAGGTACGTGCCTTTGACTGGAATCGAACCTGGCACCTTTCAGTTCGCAGGCCAATGCTCTATCCACTGAGCCAAACCGGTTTCGGCTTCACTTTCAGTCGTGAGTTTCTGTTTCCAAACTGGGGACAAGTGGTGGAGGAGCCACAGTCTGTGAAGGATGGAAACTGCGTTATGAAGACCTCTGGTGATCTGCTCATCGTAAGGCTCGGCCCAGTTCATAATGGGCAGCGGGTTTAGGGGGCAAAGAGTTGCAAGTACGTGTGTTCTCCCTGCCGCCACGAGTGGCTTTTCTGCAGGGCCCTGTCCCAGGAGAGCAGATGCAGAGGGCCCTGTCAGGACTTCCTCCCCATCCGCCCTCCCTCCCAGCAGGTGCAGCTCTTTACTTGGCCCCATGGCAAACCATGGCTCACCGACCAGGTATTGTGTAGAATGGTCATATCTGGCATCCCTTTCCCCTCTGGGATTTCTGTGCTTCCTTACGAGGCTCACCCTTTTTGCACGGCCACTTCCTGCTCAGATCCTACCTGTCCTTCAAAGTCTTAGATACTCCTAGCCGCTCAATAAGTGATTTCTGAATAAAAACCATGGCTTGGTGTGGGAACCCCTTTCACGTCCTGCGTGGTCCAGGGTTCAGGTTCAGGGTTTGGGTTCTGGAGAAGGCTGCACACAAATGGAAGAGACTAGAAAAGTGTTAATTTGGGAATATCGGGGGCCAGGCGGGAGCCCACCTCTAGGGGGAGGAGGACTACCCCCCCCTCTGGCTTTGCTATCCCTTTTATTAAAGTTATGGGATACACTCACATCCTTTAGGCAGGAAATTCCAATAATAGCCAATCAGCAAGAATTTATGTAAGACTAACAGGTGGAGGCTGCTTCAGCTACCAATGTCTCAACTAAACAATGAATGATTAGCTCCGACCTTTCAGAGCAATTAAGGTTGACCAGCCTCCTGGATTCCCTGTCCACATCTTTCTATTAGTCACGGATAATGATCGGTTTCTGGCGTCTCCCCCATTTCTTTTCTTTAAAAAAAATCTTGCATCTGCAGAACAGAAATAAACATATAAGAACAAAAAATGTTTGAGTCCCAATTTCAATGTCCAACAGTTCTAAGTCCCAGTTTCAATGTCAAACAGTTCCTTATGTGTACATGTCAGCAATGATATCTGGAAGGTGGACAAATGGTGGTAATGCAGGTCTGACCCTCTCTGGTTTGGCCTGGGCAACCTGCAGCAACGCACAGCTGCTGACTGCTAGTATGGCAAGGCATCTTCAGCGTCTTCCATCTCTGTACTATTTCTCCTCTTGTCTTCATGGCTAGAGCATTCCTGTCAACTCCTCTCTCTTGCAGGAATCTACATGGTCTTGGAGTTGTTTTCTGAAAATATACAAACATATTCTCAACCACAAGTTAATAGAGAAATCTTTTCTATAGATTTTACTTATAGAAAATTTATCCTTTTTATTTTTGCCCAAGTGATTTTCCTTATTTTGACATCATGTGTGTTTTTCATGGGTGTCTTGCTATTAGCATTACAAATGAAAATTAATTTTCAAAGCAAAAATTTTTTCTAGATGTAATTTACCTACAGAATATTTTTTCTTACATAATATTACCTTATAATCCCCCCTTTTTTTGAATTAATGGAGGCTTTTCAAAATTTTTATAATGCAGTCTTGATAACTTTAAATTTTA